AGATTAAATTAATGTTAAAAAGAAAAAAAAACAGCTAAAAAGGATGCATCAAGGGCTATTAATAGCAGGGTCCGTGCAGGTCCTTTTAAAAATCCTTGAAAAGTGCTTGAATTGAAAACTCGTTTTCAATGGCACTTGAAACTCCTTGAAATTTTCAAAAAAAAACCTTAAAAACTCCTTTAAAAAGATAGATTTCTATCACGATGCACTAGCGATCTCTGAATTATTCAGTTCAGCTGAAGCTGCGAGGAAAGAATGTACAATTAGCATCCATGATTCTGATGTCCATTGAAAATACAATTTTGGTCCTTGAAAAGTACTTGAAAAGCCCTTAAATTTCGTTTTTGATACTCTGCTTAAAAAACTCATACATAATTAATGAGCTACTAGGCCAATAGAATGAGCCTATTTGGTCACATGCATGAACCTTTATATCTCATAAAACACTCCTTATTAGTATTCTTTATATAAAGAATACTAATAAGGGTGACCTTTATCAGATATAAAGGTCCATGACCCTAGCAAAGGTCTCAGGTTTTGAAACCTGATCATTGACCAATGCAGGATGTCAACCGATTTCAGTGAACAGCCAAGAGCGCTTCTATTTTACTTTATGTGTATTCAATGTGGGATGACAAGAGCGCTTTGTAAAGTGATTCGCGCATGATCAGTTTGCCCCATTTATCTCTGAACATATTTGTACGGCAATTTCTCCAAGAATTTTAACGGATTTGAGTTTCAAATTAGTTGGAGTTTTTTAAGCCGTTTAAAACACTCGAGATCGTGTTTTATCAGGTATAAAGATTCTCGCCTTCGGCTCGAATCTTTATACCTGATAAAACACTCTCCCTCGTGTTTTAAACTATACATGGACCCTTTAAAAGACTTCATGTATATGGGACATGTTCCACCAGCATCCCTTTTGAGCTTTTGCTTATGTTTAAAAATAAAAAATACATTGTAATATAAGCAAAAACTTACTCTTTATTATCCCTTTATACTATATGAATAAGATACTGTAAGATTCGACCTTTTAACTGATGGATGGAAACGGATTGCGAATGGATATTCAAAGTCACCTCATTTTCCATATATGAAAAATCTAAAACATGACCGCATTGAATGCTGATGGACGATAGTCCCAAAATATATTTTTCATATTCTTATTTTGAATTTGCCCTGCACCTTTTTGAATGGTTACTGTACCTTACAAAATAGAGAAAAGATGACTGGTTAGCATGCTATGAAAGATAGCAGTGAATAATAGGCAATATGCAGCAAAAGATGATGATAGTTGTAGTCATCGTACTTTTTTATGTCTGCTACAACAGTCCTCCTAAGCGATATAGAAGTATTTGTACAGTTTCTAATTCTAAGAAAGCATAAAAACGGCTCTTAGGGAGATATCTAAAAGTGCAAGAACTACAACTACCATGCTTTTCCACACAAAATGGCATTGGTGCACACTGCCTATTGTTCATAGGCGTGAATGAAGATGTCTATAATTCCATGCTCACCTGTCATCTAAGACAAGGAGCACTTAAGGAAACTATTGATTCCTATTTCCTTCAGGAATCTTTAGTGATACACACGTCCTTGCACTAATGTACGCTGGTGAATTGTGTTTTTGGTATTGGAAAGCCATACAATTACTACCACAACAAGATGAAATTCCTAACGACAGATCTGACATATTGCATCTGTGTAAGCACTTTTTATCAAAGTACATAAGCACAGTTCAAGGTCCACTGCAAGGAATGGGATGGGACACTATCAAGGC